TCTCCCCACCCCTCCGACCTCTCACCTAACTTGGGTCTGTAAATGTTCAGTAGGTGACTGCGGACTTCCCACTTCTCACAGCTTGTATGAAACTATGGTATTATTAGATCTAATGGTAGTTGTGAGCGCCGTAAAACTCTTACTAAAACAAACCAAACTATGGCATTAGTTTATCTAATGGTAGTTGCGAGCGCGTCAAACTCTTACTAAAACAAAACAAACTATGGTGTTATTCAATCTAATGATAAAGGATTGACCCCGGATGACGTGTACTGGCGCGTACACTAAGAAGAAGAAGAAACAAGAATCAAAAGTGCAAGAACCCCCCCCCTCCCCCCCTCACTCCACCGACCCCTCACCGAACTTGGATCTGTTAATGTTAGAGGTGGGCAAAATCCGGATAAATATCCGGATAATCGGATAATCCTCAATAAGACATTATCCGAATTCAGACTCTGAACTCTTTTTCCTGACCCGTTTGCCGAAGTGGGTGCACCCATTTGTTGACGTTTTGCTAACCCGTTTGTCAACGTGGTTCTAACCCATTTGCCGAATCGGTTCATAACATATCATTTACCGAAGAGGTGCTCTAACATATTATCCGGATTTGCTAAAGCGACTCATTGCCCAGCCCTAGTTAATGTTCAGTAGGTGACTTCCCCCACTTCCAACATTTCATGTCCGCGAGTTGAATAATTAACGCTGTGGCCTCACCACCACTAAGCCCGTCCTTGGTCATTGGTCAGTTACGGTTGGTTGGCACAGTAGGCACCAGATCCGTTACGATTGAGGTCAACCTCCCAGCCAGCTTACGAAAGCTTCTGTTACTGCTCTAAGTCTCGGGCATCGTGGTAAAAATAATCGCTCGTCAATTAATGAAATTAAAGAAACCACCATTTTTCATTTGTTTGGCAAATTTTATAGATTTTTTGGGTTTAAGTCTCAACACCATTTAAAAACAAATGCCTGGGTTGATTTTACTGAAAAATGTTAGCCAAAACCTGTTTAAAAAATGTAAATTTGCATTATCCAAAGACGTATAAACTTCAGAAGTCACCAAACTTTGAGGGCCATTTTCTCGCTAATCTTACCTCTGACATTAGGCGGACCCTAATCTCCTTTAATCGTAAATATCTCGACTTCTTTATTCCAAAATTTACCAGCGCCTGACTCTACCGT